AAGGACGAATGAGAGGTCAAAATGGCCGCCCAGCAAACTGTGAGACAGTTAGGTCATATTGGAGGTCAAAATGGTCATGTTGTATCGGAAGGAAGTGATGGAGGAATATGCACAGAATCAGCAAGAAATTCACAATAAGGCCATTTTGATTTGATTATATGGATGACATCCTCTGGGAACCCCAAAACTGATTCGCGCGTGCGAATAAAAAAAAAGTTTTGCAAAAAAAAAAAAGTTGCTTTCACTATGAAATCTACATGGTCATGAAGGTTGAACAAATGGCACAGAATATGTTATGGCGAATAATCTACTCTTCGAATTAATTTCTTTACATTTTTGTCTTTTTTCCTTTAATTTTGGCATTCTACGACATTGGTATCGTTTCTAAATGTTTTCCTTTCAACTTATGGTATATTTTTGCTCATTTAGCAACTGTTTTGCACGATTTACAGTATGGTTGAAAACTTTTTTTTTTGAAACGGCCGAAAATTCATGCGCGCGCGGATGTCATCCATATAATCAAATCAACATGGCCTTAGCCATAATCCAGCCCCACAGACAAAATAGCACTGACCAATTGCAAAGCACTTTACTATTCCTATGTAGCAAGGTGTACAAGATGTACAAAAAGACAGTTACTCTAAATGTACCTTGTCCACCCTGTTAGTACTTTTTATAGCAAGGAGTAGAATGTATCAGGTCACTGGTAGAGACCCATACCTCGCGTCGCCTTGCTAAAACAACTAACAAAACTTTGAAAAAGAATGAAACACAATCTGACAATAGCTGACAACTAGACGTTCAAACACAAGTAAGGAAACGGCCACAACACGTCAATGAAGGTTAGACATTCAGGTACAATACTATATGAGAATGATACAAAATCAAGCAAGAAACTGGTTAAATTCTCTGAGTTGCCAGACTTTTCAAAAAGCATCCACTATCTTTTATGAGTGACTGTGAAAGATAGCACAACACTGTCACTAAATAAAAGACAGTGGATGCTACCTAACCTGAAACCTCTTGACTCCTCAGAAAATTTATCTGCATGTACTTGCTTGCTTCATTTTTTATCACATAAAAGCCACAACAATCATTTTGTACAATGTATAGCCAGGAGTAAGATGGGATTGGAACCCCGTACCCTTAGCTCCTTGGTGAGGTGGTAGGTGACCAGGGTGGTGAGAGAGCTGAAGAGAGGGGCCAGGAACACGCAGACATTCCTGATGTCAATGGTGATGTTGAAGAAGTGCAGCACGTGGTACAGGGTCGCTGAGGTCACCATCAAACCTAGAGACGGTCAAGAAAATGTAACAGTGCTAACTGACCATGCTAAATGGTCGTGCGACCTTTTAGTGTAGTGGTTAGCGTTGGTGACCGCCAAGCGGACAACTCGGGTTCGATTCCCGGTCGTGACCTGCTCGCCCCTTTCGGTTTTTACAAAAAAATATTATACATTTTGTAACAAATTTCATCCGTCTCAATCTTCAAGCTAATGATAGAGTAGACAATTACAACAAGAGTGTACAACATACTTTTTTGAACCAGGTTGCCCGGTTGCCCAGTGGGCAACCTACGGCAAAAGTTAGGTTGCCCGTCAGAATTTTAGGTTGCCCCACCTAGTTGTATAAGTTACAACTTTCCTCAAATTAAGTAATGTTAAGCCTTTGACAATATTTCTAACAGCCTTTAGTTAACTGATACTAGTAATAGCCATTAATACCTAAAATTAAAAAGCATCTGCAGGCTACAGTGGTGCAAGCCAAGTGGCCATGATTTGGGGGGGGGGGCATTCTTAAAATTCAGGGCTAAAAACTGGGCTAAAAAAAGGTTGCCCCATGTAAAATTTGGTTGCCCGGGGCAACTGGGCAACCAGGTATATTGCACGCTGAGTAATAAAACATTTAGTTTTTGAAGTGTACCAATACCTAACAGTGCCTCACTGTCTACAAATGTTGGGGTATGGGCCAGAGAATTTAGAAAAAAACCTTTACAACCTTCTAACCCAACATCTGCTTGGATATCACACTTGTGTTGGTAACTAAAATTGCAGAAAGTTCAACTTTTGTTCCATCAGATTGTTGGAAGTGGAAGAAAAAATAAACTTTTTGCAAGAGACACTGAAGTAACACCAAGACAAAGTAGCTATTGCTTTACAATTGAACACATTTTTTTGGTATCAATAACAAATAACAACTTGTACAACATATGGGAAAACTTATATAAATGTCTACAGTCTAATTACTGTATGCAATTCTTTACCAGGATAGATGGTTCCACCGATGATACGCCCCAGAGGGTACCATGCCCGGTCATCAAACCAGTTGTGGAAGCTGTAGAAACCTTCCTCCGTGAGAAACCGCGTGGTTCGGTAGTTGAAGTACCTGCATGGGACAATAAATATTTGGCACATGAACATTAGTGATGGCCGGACCTTTCTTTTTTTAGTTGTCATTTACTTCATTTGCTACTTTTGTTTAAATGACAACTGACACCTACAATAGCCATGTACCTTACCAGCCAATTAAAGCATGGCAAATGATCAGGTCTGGTGTAAAATTATGTTAAAGAACTTACGATTTTTCTGAAGAATAGATGAATCTAACACAAACAAGTAAAATCTGAGATTTTATACCTCCTGGCTTTTTATGGTATATTTTTATATAGGGTTTTAAACAAAGAATTTATCGAGACCGGACACCCCTCTGTGTGAGGGGTCATATACGTGGACCAGACCAAGAATAGCTTAAACACGCCAAAGGTCAACGGTCGCGACCACTTTCACGCTCAAAGGGGTGTTTTGGGGCCACCAAAAGGCACCATTTTCACGCCCAAAAACACATATACAATAAAAACAAAAGAACGTGCATCATCTGCAGCCCAATAGCAAAACATAAACCGAGTCTCAAAAGAATCCGTCCACCCAAACGCGAGAAACAGCTGCGAACATGAAAATCTAAATCTCTCACAAAACCCTTCCACGGAAGGATGTCTCCTTCCCCGGAGGTAATTATATGTAAAAGCGATACTTACGGATCAAACTCGTGAATAACACTCTCGAACCTCAGCACAGAGAAGAGACGAGTCGAGAAGGCTGTAATTAATAAAATAAAAATTAGAAAAAATTAGCTAAGATTAAGAGCAATTAGCAGTGGAGCTTGGCTTCAAATTCAGGATTAGAAATGTTATCTTAGAGGTGAGACCTTCTAAATTTTTGCAGACAAATTTCATTTTCCTATCATAGTAGAACATAAGACCATTGGTATAAGAAGTGAATCAAGGTTATTGTTTTAACTTTCATGTAAGATATAACCAAAGCTCTCAAATTTAACATTTAACATTTACAGTACTGGACTGCCTAAAACTCGGATGTTATTAGTTGGGCAAGAAAGCAAGGATGAGGGCTGACTTATACCTCTGAGTTCTAGAGGTCCTTTCACTAAGTTTCAGTAATTATGTAATTTAGTTTTCTTGCCAGTGACCAGACTTACAGAGTACAGCAGCGATGGACAGGACAAAGAGCTTCAGCAGCGTGTCCTGTTTGTCGTACGACATTCGCAGCGGCCACGGGAGCTTCCCTCGTACGGCAGACGACATCCTGGCGACTGATCCTTGGGGGTGTCCTGGAACGCAGAAGAATACCTTGAGAATTCCTCAGTGTTAGAAGACTAACTTAGTAAGATAAGATATATGTCGGTGAAGGTTAGACATCCAGGTAATAAGAATTAAGGTACCTCAAAAAACAGTTACTTAACTCGTCTGGACATGACTTCGGAGACAGTCATGATCAGACGTTTCTATCTACAGGGTTGGACAAGTCCCATTGCCCACTTGCCCAGGGCAAGTAAAAGTACTGTTCGGGCAAGTAAATATTCCCCTGTACTTGCCCGATTGGGCAAGTAAACTTTTTGGATGCAAAGTATAGCTGCTATGGTGTTTGGAGCAAAATTACTCATCATTTTGCCAAATTGATATTATATCAATGTCCTTTTGTCAGAAAATCCATTGCAAGTCTCAAACCACATTATTTTGATAAATAAAGTATGCATCATTATAATCTCTAAAATAAGATGCTGGTAGTAAAAATGCATAAAAATGTCATGTATATTTTGGGCAAGTGAAAAGTTGCTTCGGGCAAGTGGAAATGACCATGTACTTGCCCGATAGGGCAAGAGGATTTTTGAAAACTTGTCCAACCCTGAGATAGCATCCACTACCTTTCATCAGTGACATTAGATAGTTGTAAGAAAAGCATATTCTAAGATAAGATATGTTACTTCGATTTGTTCATGTTTTTTGGAGAGGAATATTAAATTGACATTTTTTTTCCTACAAAACTGATGTATTTTTACAAAACTGTTGATTTTGCACATGACACCCTCAGGGAGTCCTGGAAATTTGTAAAAAAAATAATATCATGAGGTGTATGGTACAATTTTTCATAGATTTGTAACGTTAGGAAATTTTGCACATGTTTTTGCACATATCTCAGTAGGTACTTTTTTCGCTATAAACAAATTTCACAACATTTTCATCATGAAATGCACATTAACCACTGATACGTCATTTACAAAAGTGAGCCAAAAAGAGGAATAATGTTTGCTGCAGTTTTTGCTCTTTATAATGCACAAATTGCCCCCCCCCCCATAATAAGTATAACGTTACTAGTATAGTAGTAACGTTACATATAATTTAGGTCACACCTACTCAACGTAACGGAATACAAATCGATGTAGATAATGCGGTGACTATTTTGTAATGTCTGCAGGAATAAGCATACGCAATCGGGAGTTTAACAGAGAGGAAATTGAGAAGAACTTTGTAGAAAACACGGTTGTACAAGTCGTCAGCTGTAGGGAACCGCTGTGCAAGCTTGCCACGTCCCCAACATCTCGCCCTCCCCCTTTGTCAGAAAAACTCTTATAACTTCCTAAAATTCCCATCAACTTGCTCAAAATTCCGCCAACTTATCGAGATCTATACTATCCACATATATGCGGGGTACTTTTTGGACAATAAAGGAGAATTTTACAGAAAATGTTTAGTTTTCGAAGAACGTAAGTGCCTACCTTGCGGTAAAATGAGGGTTATCCGGGAAGAGGTCGGAGGAGGTAGATGCAGCTCTGTGATTGGTCAACGAGATTTAATTAGCCTACGAACATGCACGAGCTTTCACGACTGCTCAGATCCGGCTTCCGAGATCAGGCGAGAATTTCCAGGGTTTCTGACATCTAGATTTTACATTTCTTGCTCATGACAAGCTCAAATTAAACTTTGCACGACTTCAAAATAAGTTATAAACTGAACAGAGGGGTTTAAGTTTACAAATATGAGCATTTTTAAACCAGTCAACGTGGCTTAATTAGCATATTTCAAGTTCAGCTAGGCATGAGGTCATCGTTTGTAATACGCCCTCTGATTGGTCAGAATTGCCGGGATAACCTGTTCGCCGAATGAAAATGGCTGCCGACTGATGAAAGAGGAAAACCTGCTTGAATTTTCTCCGATTTTCCGCACAAAACAGCCACTCAACATCGATTTACAAAGGTAGGTAGATTAGCAATTGTGTCAGCTGTCCTTACAGGTTTGAATTAGCAGACGTGGCGCTATTTTAGGAGATTTAGCCGTCCGAAAACCCTTGATTAGCCTCCAGCTAGAAAGTGTTTTTATATAAATTCATGGTCGCAGCTGGTAGTGTTTGCTATGAAGTATGATATGTAATCTGGATTTTAAGCCAGTAATCCTCATCCATTCTCTTGGTTTCGTCTTTGTCTGCCGTGATTTCGTTTGACTAGGCTGGAATTTTCACCGTGGGCCTTTTTTCTGTGCTCCCTAGGCTTAAATTTATGTTGTTTCTTTTTATCTAAAAGCAATTTCTTTTAATTTTTAGGATTTTAGAAGAATTATGAAAACTTCCAACCACGTAAACGTATTTACTGCAATGTTTTAGTATTTATATCAAATTTTGGTGGTATTTTTCTCCTAAATTAATTGGAATCGTGTGGCATGATTGGTTAGTGTAATTCCCTAGTGTTGTGGTCAGGGGGGAGTGGCACTTGTCACCATCTGCCCTTATTTCATTTCATCACTGAATTAAAAATATAAAATTAACGACATTAGGACTAATATTCTAGTAATGTCAGATGAAAAATCATCCACAAAATATAATTTTTTTGCCAAAAAATTAATGACAAACTGTCATATTCATCATTGACACATCAATGTAACAATAGACTACTAATTGATAATATTACTGAGCATATTACTTGATTCGTCATTGTGAATATGATAATCTTTGTCCAACATGCATAATCTTAGGAAACCACTTTTATCATTATCTAGTAAAGCTTACAACACAATATATCTACCATATGGTACCACTTAGTTGCAACAGAAAGATCCAAGGTGCTAGCTCATGCACTGCTTGACAGTGCTTGTATTACTTGTAACCTTGCATATCATTAGTTTAAAAAAAAAACAGGAATACAATGTTTCTTAAGGATGAATTTTATCTTGTAAGCATCTTATTCAAGAGATATTCTGGAGTGATGTTGTAATGTATGATAAATGAGTACTCCCTAATTTGATATCCTGTTTAGTATCCCTATGGTATTTGTGTTATTAGATTTTCTGTCATCTCTAGAATTGTGAATTGTACAGTGTAGCTTCCAAATTGTGCTTTTCCAATTTGTGTCTTGAATCCAGCTATAATTCTTAGTTTGAAATGCTTTAATGACATGATAAAATCAGAAGAGTTGAAGGAAAGTGGGTGTTGTCACTTAACAGGTGGTTGAGCAGAATACACATTCCAGTCCCACTATTATATAATATATCATCAGGATCTAGTGCTACTGCTAGTTATAATGTTTTGTTTTGCATAGTATTTTCTGTAATAAATTTTAGATTTGGACAACTGCAACGTGTAACACTTAAGTAGACCTGTAGCTTATCCTATAGGATGCATCCATGCAAATGTACTTTCTATTTTCAAAATTTACTTTTGTTTGAAGAATAGGTGGGGCTAAGAAGCTGACTCCTACAATTTCAACTTTTTCTAGTTTATGGAAAGGCGAGTTTCTTTCAGTTAATATGTTGTACTCGCCTGTAGGGGTGGGTACCTGTTCGGCTCTTTCAGGTCCAGGTCCAGGTCCAGGTCCAGAGGATCAGGTCCAGGTCCGGACCTGTACCTGTACCTGATTCTGGATACCGGACTATCAGTACCAAATAATTTTTGCTAAATGATCATTGCTAAATGCTCAATGCATAAGTAACCACTACAAATTTTTTTTTATTTTTTTTATTTTTTTTAAATTTACAATTTTTTTAAATTTATTTTATTTTATTTTATCCCATTTTAATTTTATTTCATCCGTTCTCTACATTATCAAGCTTCTCCTCTACTCCTATGGCTACTAACACCTCAGAACAGAATATATTAATATATTAAACTTCCCAACCAATCACATCGCAGGATTTCAATGTGCAGTCGCCCCCTCTAGCGGTTTGGGCCATATTGCAGGTTTAAGGAATCCAAGATGGCCGCCGCTCGACTCAGTTTAGAGCCGATTCCCGAACTTTTCTTGTATTTTCCTTGGTATTTTACGCGATTCAAGCAAAGAAAACAAATTGACCACAAGAACAAAAGAGTAATACAGCCTTGGGAACATAATGGTCCGTTTTGTTTGGTACTAATTTCTCATTTCGAGTGAAAATTTATGTGCTGCACAGTGTGACCATGCCATGTGGTGTAAAATCAGTGATTTTTCGGCTTGATCCGAAGCAAACGCAGCCTGTTAAGTTCTCTTTTATGATTTCTAGATGACTATCGGTAATGAAAATATGGAGAATATTGTTGCAAAAGGAGGGATACGGAAACTAAGGTAAATTTCTTTTATTTTGATGCTGGATTTTCCTGGCTGGCTTCTTGTATCTAGTGATCATCAGTAACTACAAGTTTAGATTTTTGTTCCGGTCCAAAAAAAACCGGTCCACTGACGTTTCGGTTTTTCGGACCGGACCGATAAAATTTTTACGGTCCGAACCGGTCCACCTGGACCGGTACCCACCCCTACTCGCCTGGATTCGTCCCTCCTTGTTAAAATATTACGTAAGTTTTGTTTGCTGTAACAGGTGGTTCCCTGTCAGTTCCAGGATGTTTACTCTCTGTCTTACATTTTCGACAGGAAAAAATTGATCTTTGCACTTTCTGAAGGATTTAAGATGTCTGGAAGGCTTGAAGAGTTAATTGAAATGCTCAAAGGAGGTCAACATGTTTTGTTTGAGTCTGTCATACTTGTATTTGAATCTGTTGATAATTTGGTATTCCTAAGGTACTGGTCAAGTACATATCTCTTGGCACTCAATCAAAAATTCAGAACTACCTTTGAGCACAATTACTAGTACTGCAATTTTACAGATCAGAAAAAGTATTTTAGATTGTATTGAAAGTTATTTTCAGATTTTGAAAAATATATGCTGAGCTGAAATATCGACACGTATACGTAAATTTGAGGGTACTTTCACCTGCCAAATAAACCTAACGGTACCTTTATTTTTTGAGGCCAGAACGTCCACCCGGTACGTTCTTATTTTGCACAATACGTTTATTAATTTTTGGAAAATCAGTAAATTTTTTTGAGTGTGCGTGAAAAAAATGGACAAATCTTCGACATGAAGACGTTTATAAATGCGTACTTTAGCGGGAATTTTGTCATTTTCGGCCTGTTTTTGCCGCCGGCCGCATTAAGCATTGTGGCCAGTGATCGGGATGGCCTCTCATGTCCCAAATAAACGTAAATTTGCCCCTAACATCCACCCGGTGCGTTCTATTTTGGACGGCACGTTTACTAATTTTTTCAACATCAGGACATTTGTAGCAACATCTTACCTCCCTTTAGGTGTAAATTGCATTTAGGAACATGTAATTTTGTATCATGTAGCATACAGTTTCAGGAAGTGATAATTATATATATTGAATTCAAGTAGATATTTTACGTTTAGCTGAGTGTTAACTGTAAAATGCCAGAGAACCTTATTAATATTAGGTGTGACTAAGGCTGCATACCGGTTCACTGGACTTGGATCCAGACTTATAAGAATGTTTAGGTTCAAGTCCAAAAAAACCTTAAAGTCAAGAACCGAGTCCGGACTTGTTACCATAAAAGACCATTTCACATACCCCTTTTCTTTTCAAACCACCTAAAACCTTCCGTAGATTGCAAAATCTTTGCTGCAAAATGAAGAAAACATTGCCATTGGGCATCGTAAAGTGTCGGCCTCCATGTTATGCGGCCAAGTTTTGCCCAAACAACATTGCAAGGTTGCCAAGATGCAATTTTGTATATGCCTTGGGTTTAGGTCCGGACTTACAAGTCTGGAACTGAACCTAAACCTCTGGACTTGAATCCAGACCTGAATCTAAATGTGGGTTTAGATATGCAGCACTAGGTGTGACCTTGTTTGTTCTGTGTGTGCTATTTCCATTCTGTACAGTGGGAGTTGTCCCCAGTTGGGTCATTAAGAAGATTGACAAGTGTGGGGGTCATGGCAGGTGGTTTTTAAGCTTCAGTTCATATGGCCCAGATCAGGGACACATGTAAGGGGTATGCATTTCACTGCATGGTCCAGTACTCTTGGTGGTTTGAGTGCTTTTTCCAGATGCATATTTTAGCCCACAATCATTCATTGTGAAAAATTAAAGTAATTGTGGGCTAAAATATGCATCTGGTACAACCCCTCGTTTTTAACAAAGTTTAACATCTTTTGCAATTTTTTTGTGTATGACTAGTATGAGTGTGAAACAAATTATACACTAAGAGTTGGATGAGAGAGAAAGGTGAATACAAAAATATATATATACATACATTTAATAAAAAGAGACTTACATGCACAGTATATCAACATATTTTATTAGCATTCAATTTAGTTCCAACTTAACACGATTTACATTTTGTAGTTGAATTTTTTGTCAAAAATAAAGTTGCAGAAAGAGACAAGAACAGTCAAATTATACACATTGAAATTATTCTTCAAACAAGGACATCGTACAAATCAAGAACTTTATAATGTCCTTGCTTCAAACAAAGTCGAATCAATTGACCCTGAACATGTTTACATATGTACCTGCGTCATATTGTATTCATGTGTAAACTTAGACATGTCTAACACGTTGTTGGTTTTTGTATAACGTTACCTTCTGTTCAAAAAGATCCTCAATGAAATACATGTATATAAAATTGTGTTCAACCAATTATATATATTATACTGTAGATGCTATGAAATAGTTAGTTATTTAATGCTTTTAATTTTAGTTTGATCTCTACAGTAGCTTGTCAAGCATGTTTTATTAAGCGCACAGCTCACAAAGTCAGGAGTTGCTATAGTGCTGTATGGGAGGTTAATGTTTAATGGTTTGTTTATCATTTTCACGGGGTCCTAGGAACAAAAAGATCCTGTTGCAGGTTTTACTTACGTATCCTGGTTGGTAAATGTACTGGGGCAAAAGTCAACAAGATATGTATCACCAGTGGCATGTGAGCAGGCAAGCATGGTAACTGTTATACTTACTTTTAGGGACATTAGAAATAGTAGTTACAACTTACAACAGTTTAATGTAACTCATATGTTGTTATTGTATGGTTGAATACTAATTTGAACCAATGGTTGTGTTGTACGATTGTGTGTCTTGATGATTGGACTCACATGTGTTACAGTTTACAAAAGGTACGTATACGGAATTCAAAATATTATGTATGTGCTTACTGCTGTATATTGGCCGTTGGGGGGATATTTTAAGCAGGAATTACTCAAAATTCATACATCTTGTCCTTGGCCTTTTAATATATATAGTTTTATTCATTTTAGGTTAACAACTTGACTTAAGTTAACTGATCCAAGAATTTTCGACCATTGCAAGATTTTTATAAGTTTTACTCGTAGGTTTTTGTTGTTAAATCAAGACTGTTTTAATTGAGGTAAAAAGTACAATCAGAATCAGAAGTACTTCACACAGTTGTGTAATTTTGTGTACACATCCTACGTAATGTACATTACACTTTCCTTGCTAGGCAGTTAAGGTACAAAGTCCTTCCGACTCATTACAGTTTTACGTAATCCCTTATAAAATTGAATGAATGCATAACCCATCCAATAGTTCATATATCCTATGTCCTATATAGATTAATATACATGTATTAACCTAAGGCCATATCAATTTAATTTGTTGGTTCACGGAATCACCTGCTTCAGTTGAAGGAAGTCCCTTTTAATTTTTTAAAATTTTTTTCCATTTATTCATGGAGTGGTTTTGATAAGACTATATAGCTAAGACAAGAGTTTGAAATTCATTGTTTGAAATTTTGCAAACCAGCCAGGTATGTTGACTTCATTGATCCTATCATACATGTACATGTACATAGCATTTGTGGCTATCAGAGGATGCCTTAGGCCACACCAATTTAATTCCTTGGTTAACGGATTCGCCCGCTTCATTTTTTTCTGATTTGCAAATAAAAATAAAAATTCAGAATCAACTGCAAAATGCTCATATTTTGCCCTGATAAGTTGAAAACAGTCCCTTTCATCCTAGTTTTTACAGTTATTCCATCTTTCAATGCAATGGTATCATTAAAAGTTCAAAATTCATTGTTTAAATTTTGAACCAGTCTGGTGTGTTGACTTCATGGCTCCTATTGTACCATTTTGGGCCATAATAGGATGCCTAGGCCTGTTTTTATTTTTATTTTTTTTCCGCCCGCCTGCTCCATTATTTTTCTAGAAAAATCCGTTAACCAAGAAATTAAATTGGTGTGGCGTTAGGTCTGTTTTTATTTTTTTTTCGCTCAGTGTCACTTCATATTTTTGATGAAAGAAATCCAAAAACCAACATAGGAAATTTGTGTGGCCTAATGAATTAATAGTGCATTAAATGTGTTTTCATTTTGATTATAAGACGTTAAAACTTTAAAAAAAAAAAATTTCACATTTAGCACCTCATAATGAGTACAATTTTGCCTATTAGTTTAAAGTTATGCTATTACAAATATGTAGTTGATTCCTTAGATCTTAAAATTAATGTGGGTTATGGTTGGTGACTGCATTTTTAAACAAATATTTAAGGCCCTGAGACGTCACTAAGCCATTAACAGATTGGTTCTTTCATCACTTTGTAGTTTTCAGTATTGATTTTGTCTGTACTCTCATCTGCCAAATAAACATACGGGTACGTTTATTTTTTTGGGCCCGAACATCCACCCAGTACGTTCTTATTTTGCACAGTACGTTTATTAATTTTTTTGAAAACCAGTAATTTTTTTCAACTTCGTGTGAAAAAAATTGACAAATCTTCGACGTGAAGACGTTTATAAACGCGTATTGTAGCGAGAAACTTGTCATTTTCGGGCCGGTTTTTGCAATCACCGCGTGCATAAATTTGTCTGAATGTTCTATTGTCATGGGTGGTGCTTATCAAAATACAAAATATTAAATGCTCTTTTTTTGTTGTCTATTTAAATTCCTAATTGCAAATAACAGTTAAAGATTTGTGCATATATCAGTAAGGGCGCATTTTAGTACAAGAGACACAGGTTACCCGTCAATTTTGGTAATTTTCCGGGGGGTACGTTTATTCCGGAGGTATGTTTATTTGATTTTGAAGATTTGTCCGGGGGGGGGGGGTATGTTTATTCCGGGGGGTATGTTTATTCGGCAGATGAGAGTACTGATCTATTGGGACGTGTCACCACGGCTGTTTGTAGTATAGGATGTTCAAGGACTAAATGGCAGGGCTAAGGGCTTAAACAGCGTGCAAAATACCTGGTTGCCCAGTTGCCCCGGGCAACCAAATTTAACTTGGGGCAACCTATTTTTGAACCCAGGTAGCCCAGTTTGCTACCTGAATTTTAAGAATGCCCCCCCCCCAAATCCGGCAGATGCTTTTTAATTTTAGGTATTAATGGCTGTTACTTTAGCTGGTATCAGTGAACTAAAGGCTGTTAGAAATATTGTCAAAGGCTTATATGTATGTAACAATTACTTAATTTGAGGAAAGTAGTACACTGTATATAATGCTTATAGGTGGGGCAACGTAAAATTCTGATTATTATTAAGGCAACCTAATTTTTGCCGTAGGTGGCAACCAGTGGTTCAAAACAGTATTTTGTACACTGGCTTAAAATCCAGCTTTGAAATTCATCATTTTGTCAGCTCCAATTTTCCCCCTTGTGAAGTGTATTATAATATACATATAGCTGAGTATTTCCAGCCCCGTATTATAATTTTATTTCATGATATCGATACTCCTTTAGTGCCTCTGCTCCAAATCATCCCCCCTTCCTAATTCTATGATCCATTAATTTCTCTATGTATGTATCTCTGGGATTTGTTCGTTATTCATTATTGTCTTGTTAGAATTTCTGTCTCGGAAGCTATGGAAGGTTTTACAATTAATATTCCCAATTGCATTCCTTAACTTGATTTTAAGTACTCCCGTAAATAATTTCATCAGGTTGGAAGATACTTAGGGTATAGGATTTTCTTCTAACACAACCAGTAAGGTTCTCACCTGCTTACGTTTCGATGTCTATCAGACACCTTCCTCAGAGCTTCTGACTGGAGTTCTGCAACTCGCCGCTATTTAACGCCAAAGTAGGTGGCGCTTTTGCGGCGAGAATGCAATCCCAAACGTGGCTGAGCTTGTATCCCCCCTCGTCCCGGTTCATCACTGGGGTAGACTTCCTTATCCAGACTGCTTCTTTAATCCAACGGATTCTTCTGTTGTCCTCCCTATCTATGACCCTGGCTCCCTCCCAGTCTATCACACAATTGTTTCTGGCAACATGGTCTGTGACTGCCGATTTTAAGTACTGTAGTAGTATTGTGGTGCAATGATTCCAAAGATTTTTTAATGAATCTGACAATTTGCATGTTTTTTATTTTGAAGTTTTAAAATTTCTGTGTATAGAATATTGTTTTTGTTACCTTCATTTTCCATTTATTAGGTCCAATATTATTTCAGGTAAAAAAATTGTTGCTTTCCATACATATCTATGATATAATGTGTACCATATGTTTTTACTTTGAAATTTGTACTTTCTTTTGATGTTGTATACTTTATACAATTATCCATTCATTCTTAAGATACAGGCTCTGTGATATACAATTTGTAATATTAACAAAAAAATAAAAAATGAAGACTGAAATTGAGTAGTAACTTTAGTCAGGACTGCAAATTGTTAAATTGTGAATTGTTGAGACATATATGCATCATTATATCATATTCTGTACACACAGTAGGAGCCTTGATTATTGCTCAAACATCCAACTCATCCAATCATTCTGTTGCCATGGTAACCATACTGATGATGCACATCCTTCCTTCGTTGCTAGGCAACCATCCAGGATGGACGTCAGTGCTGATGTGAAATTCTAATGCTGCTATAACGTGCGTAGGAGGACATCACATAGGAAAAATCACAAGGGAAAAGAAAATCGTCTAAAAACATTCGCTGACGTCATCGCGTAACCGTCCCTTTCAAGATGGCGGACGAAAGCGAGACGGCGAATCTGGTGGCGCCCAAACCTGGGGGAGGGAGGAATCCGTTACAGTGGGCGAAGTTCGGACTCAGTGAAGAAAGCGGGTCTCTGAACCAACAGACTACCAAAGGGGAAGCTCAGGAATTATTTGACGAAGAGGAAAAGGTAAGATTTTTTTGTTCTACTTAGTCTAACCCAGAATTATCATTTTATGATATAATAACATTTATTTAACATCTTTCGTATTGCCTTTAATGCCTGCCTACCTGCCTAAATGCTTAGGCCAGGACTGGCCCCTTGCTCCTCTTCATTCAAAATGTACCTACAACATTTTGTCTTGTGCATCGGTTTTGGAATTTTTTTCATACTCATTTAGTCAGTCATTTATAAAATATTTGAATTTTTTCTGGTCTCAATTGGCTATATTTAGAAATTAGAATTATTACTGGTAAAATTTCCTTGATTTGATATGAAATCTGCAATCCAAAGGATCAAATAATACGAATAAAGAGTGGTTATGCATAGATGACTTATTGTCCTCACAATAAAACACTTATTATATTAATTTATAATTATTTTTATAACCTTTTTAAAAAGGCCTCTGTTTGTATACAGTAATAGGAAATTTGCAATAGGATATAGCATATAGATAATAAACTTGTACATGCTAGCTATAGTATAGTAACTGTTTCATGCATGCAAAACTTAACTGTCTTACATACTGTATATGGCCCAATGCCAGACTCATCAACTTGTAGGTCACAGTGTAAACTCGTTAGAAATCAGCAGGTGTAGGGTTAATTAGAGATTGACGTCATTCAGATAGATGCATTTGACTAATGGTTTATAGGACTGGTGTGCTTACAGTTACAGGAATTTATGTGTAAGTCAGGGTAATTTCAAATACATTATTATTCAGACTTAGTCTACAGTCGGAGTATTGTGATGTTGTCAAATGTAATTTTAATCTGTAGTGTAATGATACAGTCTGTGAGAATTCTCTGTAACTGATAGTCAAAGTACATAATCTTAAGTGTTTTGATCTGAAATCTCTTCTCTGAAATAATAATACAAAACCCTGATTTTTCACGGTTTTCGTTGGATGTTTCAGACAGTTCACTGTTGCATGTTGCCTGGATATCTTTTCTGAAATAACATTTGAAAACTACAGATGGAATGATAATCGTATATTACATCAGGGTTCGAAATACTTTTTTTCAGGTACGTGCAAAATTGCACATTGGCAAAATTTTTAGGTGCAATTTGAAAAATTTATGTGCAAAATTATATTTAGCCTTGCATCTTTAGGTTTGGAACTGTTTTACTGTGTATCAACCTTCTTAGCCTGCCACTGCATATAGAAGTTTTAGTATACATTAAAAAGAAGGGACCAAACAAAACATGAACAATGCAAGTATCATCTGTGTTTATAAAAAAAAAGAACACAAAAAAATTTGTCGGCATTAGCTTCAAAGGACGCCGCTAGTGACCCCCGGCCCTCTCACTCGTCATAAAAAAAAATTACCAACAGTATGCGAGCAATAAATTTCATTTATTTTGCATATTTGTTTACCTTGAATATCGTGCACGATATAAGGAAAAAATACTGCTTAGAAAAAAATAACGTCCGGTAAATTTTTGCTTCTTGGCGCTCCCCTCCCCCTCCTCTGGGGGCGCGTCGTCAACATCGGCCGCGGGATCCTCGGAGAGGGTGGACCCGGTGGCATCTCCCGATCCACCGCCCCCGGCTGCACCAGCCTCTGGTCTACCGCCACCGGCTGCACCAGCCTCTGATGCCGGCTGGGCCCGTGAAAAGAACTTGAAAATCGACCCCTTCTTCATGCTTTACAAATTTCCTGGGTAGCACTGAATGCTGGGAAATCTGAAAACTCTATTTTTCACCGAATTTTACCGAAAATTGGACGAAAAAGCCGAAATTACTCTGCCGAAGGACTTCGTACCACATCGGGCAACAAGTTTCGCGGGTCTCACCATATTTGGTAAATCATTACGTAATGCCTTCGCGTCTTCACCTGGGGACGAGAGCAGCTTGTTCCCAGGATGTTCAGTAAAGAAAACAATATGGCTGCCATGCGCCCAGCGCGATGCCGACATAGCAAGAAACTTCGGAGATACGCAGTGCAAACATGATATATCGGTATTGTCCAGGTGCAAAATTGCACATTCAAAATATTTTTAGGTGCAAATCTTGAAAATTACGTGCAATTTGCACATTGCACCTTTGTATTTCGAACTCTGTACATGTATAAGCGAATACGACATTCTGCCAAAGTGCTATACAAAATTCATTACAGATTTCGCGCAGGTGCAGTACGTTCTGCCGGCGTGCTTCATACACCCCATATGAAACAACAAAAAACCTGTTTATTTCAATTATCCTGGTCAGGATTCAAGTCTTCTACTTCTAGTCATGAAAAAAGGATTAGGATTGGAATTGTGGTCTAAAACTGTAACAGTAAAAGCTCTTGTCTCAGATGTAAGTCATGAAATATATATTACTAGCTCTTGTTAGACTATTCAGTGTGACCTAGATGTTTTAACAGCATTGTATGATATAACCATTATAGCTAGAGAACCTGTGTTAAAAGCATCTTTAGGCCACACCAATTTAATTTGTTGGTTCTCGGATTTTTTCAGAAAAAATATGAAGCGACAGGGCGAAAAAAAATAAAAATAAAAACAGGTCTAGGCATCCTATTATAGGCTTAAATGCTACGAAATGAGCCATGAAGTCAACACAAAAGGCTGGGTTAAAATTTAAACATTGAATTTTGAACTTTTAATCAAACCACTGCAATGATAGATGGGAAAACTGTAACAACTAGGAAGAAAAGGACTTTCCTCAACTGTTTTGGGCAAAACATGAGCATTTTTCAGTTGATTCAGAACCAGAATCATTTTTTTTTTTTTTTTTGCAAATCAGAAAAAAACGAAGAGGCGAATCCGAGAACCAACAAATTAAATTGGTGTGGCCTTAGAATTCAATGTAACATCTGTTCAGATGCCAGGACAGGACAAAAATCATTTCAACTAGTAGAAAAACCAACATTTGCTCGGGAGCAAATGCAGCAGATGGCAAGGTCACCACGTCCCTCGTACCAAAAATAGACTTATCCCCCTATCGCACAAATGGACTGTTCCTAAAATTGCTAAATGAACCCTGTCCAAAATATGAAGTGTTCCAATAGTCTATACCCTCATGCAGCAATGGAATCTCCCAACGCCTTCTGCTGTTTGAACATGTAGAACCCTGGTAGAACCTGTCTGAGTGTTCTTAATTTAGAACTGTCAGTTGGGGATTTGGGTAAAAATGTAGCAGATAAAACCATATGATAGTTAGACTGCATAGGAAACTCTTTACAATGACAATAATCTTCAATGAAATTGGAAATTAAGTTAGATGTAAAGGCCAATGGATTTAGCTAAAGGAAGGCTGTTCAGCACCAAGGAGGTCACACAATGTATAATTGTGAAAAATCCAGTACAGGGATGGAAATACTCTCATCTGCCAAATAAACATACGGGTACGTTTATTTTTTTGGGCCCAAACATCCACCCAGTACGTTCTTATTTTGCACAGTACGTTTATTAATTTTTTGAAAACCAGTAATTTTTTTCAACTTCGTGTGAAAAAAATTGACAAATCATCGACGTGAAGACGTTTATAAACGCATATTGTGGCGAGAAACTTGTCATTTTCGGGCCGGTTTTTGCAATCACCGCGTGCATAAATTCGTCTGAATGTTCTATTGTCATGGGTGGTGCTTATCAAAATACAAAATATTAAATGCTCTTTTTTTGTCTATTTAAATTCCTAATTGCAAATAACAGTTAAAGATTTGTGCATATATCAGTAAGGGTGCATTTTAGTACAAGAGACACAGGTTACCCGTCAATTTTGGTAATTTTCCGGGGGGTACGTTTATTCCGGGGGCATGTTTATTTGATTTTGAAGATTTGTCCGGGGGGTACGTTTATTCCGGGGGGTATGTTTATTCGGCAGATGAGAGTACTCAATAAAATCTACAATTTGTAAAAATCATTTTTTAACAATTTTACCAGAGCTCTAACTTTTGATTGCTAATAATATTTAATTGTCTTAGAAGTTAGATGTCACAGTACAGGGCTAGGAAGGGCTAGGAATTCATTTTTGGGAATAGACATTCTCTTAAAAAATGGTTTCTCAATGAATTGAAAGTCCTCAGTTACAGTTGTTTATTAACTTGTTGATTGTTATGTACACACTGTTCTATATACTTTTGTTGAGTGATTACCTAACTTAACTGAACAAAATTAATACAGTACCCGGTAGCTATGTATGTACATTGTACATTACCTAAAATGATTTGTGAAACATTTTAGTTGTGTCAACACCTGTAGTAACACTAGTACTTGAATCAACATTTGTGTCAACAAACTGGCTTTGTACATACATATCTATTTCAAATTTCTTTCTTGCATGCAAAATAAATGCTGTTGACTTACATGTAACTTAGCAATTTTGGCTACTTATATATATTGTACCTACGTGGTGTCAGCCAACTATTTTGGCCAGCTTAAAATAACACATTATCACAAATTTACAGTATACTTGCTCAACTGTGAATTTTCCCATGCTCTTATAGTGGATAGTGTTTGAGCTGTATAAAGAAAGTAGAGTATTAACACACCCACTGAAATAAAAATGGTATGTTCTAAATTCAGGCTGTCTGATTGGTTGATATCATCCAATCAGACAATCTGAATTTGGAACATACCATTTGCTGTTATAAGCATTCAAACATGACTGTTTTAGATTGCTGTACAGAAAGTGTGAAAATTGGAACAGATTGGACAAATTGAATTGAATTATTTATTTAACGTACCGGTATGTTTATTTGAGAGTTGAGCTCAAGGGTTTTTTTCTTTTCTTACGTTCCATTTCGTTCCATTTCGTCCGTTTTGTTGCATTTTGTACTTTCTGGGATCCCGTTTTAGATTACAGTAATTCATGAACAACTTGCAATTTATCAGGCTGAAAGAAAACATGTATTGCAGAAATCATATTGCAAAGACCTGAAATAGATTTATTGCACTACAATTAGGCCACACGAATTTAATTTCTTGGTTAACGGATTTTTCTATAAAAATAATAGAGCGGGCGGGCGAAAAAAAAATAAAAATAAAAACAGGCCTAGGCATCCTATTATGGCCCAAAATGGTACGATAGGAGCCATGAAGTCAACACACCAGGCTGGTTCAACATTTAAACAATGAATTTTGAACTTTAAATGATACTACTGCATTGAAAGATGGAATAACTGTAACAAGTAGTAGGAAAAGGACTGTTTTCAACTGTTCAGGGCAAAATATGAGCATTTTGCAGTTGATTCTGAATTTTTATTTTTATTTGCAAATCAGAAAAAAATGAAGCGGCGAATCCGTTAACCAAGAAATTAAATTGGTGTGGCCTTATTGCAAATTTAACCTTATCCTTGCTGCCTTACCCAAGGCCAATGAAAAAAATGGCAGCCAAGGGCAACTTCAGTACACTTAGCTTAAAGAATGACAGTTAAACTTTGAACCTCTTTCCTGTTTAGAACTCAGGTGAAACCAGAAAGCCATGGTGGAAGTCCAACTTCTTCATCACAGAGCCGGTATTGTTTGGAACATGGGACGGAGTTTTCACTGCCTGTATGATGAACATCTTCGGTGTGGTGCTGTTTCTCAGGACTGGATGGATGGTGGTATGTTTGTTAGTTTGTTTGTTTGTTTGTTTGTTTGGAACATGGGACGGAGTTTTCACTGCCTGTATGATGAACATCTTCGGTGTGGTGCTGTTTCTCAGGACTGGATGGATGGTGGTATGTTTGTTTCTTTGTTTGTTTGTTTGTTTGTTTGGGACTTGGGACGGAGTTTTCACTGCCTGTATGATGAACATCTTCGGTGTGGTGCTGTTTCTCAGGACTGGATGGATGGTGGTATGTTTGTTTGTTTGTTTGTTTGTTGCTTCAGATAGAGACATCCTCTCAGTTGGGATACTAGTATTAAGTTGGCTGTTTTAGGAGAGCCACACATCGAGCATGTTAAAGTTAAAGAACCAACCACACTTTTTGAAACATAAGACTAGGGATCCTTTCTGGTGTGAGGGGTTCAAGCCTTCTGGTCTTACACAGCTCATGCTTACTTTACAAAACTGTTATCATGTTAGACCTAAGGTGGTTTACTATTTATGAAAAACAAACAGACATTATTTGAATTTACAGAGCTATATTGGTTTGGTTTTCCTTCAATGCCCATGATGATCATGATAATGATCATTCTGGCATACTGATCTTTTCACCTGCCTGCAAAGTGAGGAAAGTCGTGTGAAGTGCCTTTCCCAAGGGCACAAGGTTGGTGACTTGGCAGGATTTGAACCCGAGACCTCTTAGTTCTGAGCCAAATGCTCTGTTGTTACGCCACACTAGCCCTCACTATAGTATTGGGAGAACCTGACAGACTGGGTTATGTATAAATGACACCTTCGAATTCAAAGCTGGTAGCATGTGTTGTATTGGAGGAAAAAGTATAGAATCGTGAATCAAGAATTCAAAAACATTGTTTATAATTGTGTATTACTAATTACAATGTTGTGTTTTCAGGGTAACGCGGGAATCGGCCTGTCCATCGTGATCGTGTTTATGACCATCTCCATGGCACTGCTGCCCATCCTGTCAGCCATCGGAGTGACGGAGAGATGTCACATGGAACACGGCGGACTGTACTTCCTCCTGTCTCACGCACTGGGGGGGAGGGTCGGCGGCAGTGTCGGCTTCCTCTTTGTCTTCGGCCAGGTTAGCAGGACTTAACAAAATTCTTTTTGCTAATAATGTCTGATCTAGCAAAAAAATATGATAAATTGTCCTTTCCAGAATGCTGTCTGTTCCAAATGTGCTGAATCCATGGTTTTAATCGAAATTCTGTAATCACCATCTTTTCCCTTCCCCATGCCGGCTGTTGTTTATTTATTTATTTATTTGCAGCTGCAGGGTATTGTCTGCTCCCTTTTCTGAATGGTTTTTAATTCCAATTCTCAAAGATAAGGATTGCTGTAATCATGGTATTGTCCCTTACCCATATAATTAATTAATATTTATTTGTTTATTATGTTTACCGAATGAAAACGTGTTTTTGTTCCATTTCTTCCTCTTCTTCTTCTCCAAACAGTGACCTATGACCTGACCAATGACATGATTTGTTGACGTCTGTCACCATAGTGACTGGTGTTGGGTTACATAATGTTGCAATTTTATGGTCTGCTCTGCTCCTGTCACCATATACTAGTAGTACAATGTATGTGAATGTGTTTGAGTAAGAATTAGCAGAGCAGACCATGTCCGAATGCAAACATTATGCATTTGCTTTGCAAATGCTACTTCTCTAGTTTATATAATATATTATTATTAATATCTATTTTCAGGCTGTTGTCTGCTCCCTGTACTGCACGGGTTTTGGCGAGTCCTTTGCGGAGGCTGTGGGCTGGAATAACGAGTGGGCTGTCCGCGGCATCGCCATAGTAACCCTGCTGGTTCTGCTGGGCATCAACCTGGCGGGAGTGAAGTGGGTCATCAAGGTGCAGCTCCTCCTAGTGGGCTGTCTCGGTATTTCACTTGTGGACTTCATCATTGGGACCTTTGTCAAGACAGACTATGGTAAGTACATTGTACACAGTGTAAAACACAGTCCTTTCTAAATATTATGTAAAATATTAGTTTGAAAGTTCACCTTTGTATATGCAGAAAGTTTATGTTTTTCAAATACTGGGGATTAGCTTAATTTTGTGTGAAAAATTAATGTTGCTTTAAAATGATTTCTACTAGACTAGTGAAAACCATTTTAATTTTAATTAGTAATATTGAACTGAATATCCATTTTTCTCAGACCATGAAATTTTGCTAATTATAATATAAAGTGATTTACAGTAACCCGTGTACACAGTATCAGTGCAGTTAAACTGTACATGCCCAGTGCTGCTATTTTTTCTACATCAGACTTTACAAAGCATGCTGGACAAAAGGGTGAAATCTGCCATCTCTGATTGCTAATTGTTTTTTTTTTTTTCTTGTTTACAGCTGCAGGTGTTGTAGGCTACAGCGTGGAAAACTTCCGTAACAACACGGGACCAGACTACATCCCCGGACAGGACTTCTTTACCGTGTTTGGCGTGTTCTTCCCCACCGCGACCGGGGTCATGGCGGGGGTCAACATGAGCGGTGACCTGAAGACCCCTAACAGGAGCATTCCGATTGGTTCCCTGTCTGCCATCGGAGTCAGGTGAGTAAATGTTGTTTGTTTGTTTCGCATAACCGGTAAATAAACAGCCTTTAGGCATAATACACCAGTTTTGTACAGTAAGTACAAGCTGTGTAAGACCTGACTGTAAGGTTTGAACCACTCACACCGGGAAGGAATCCTAATGTTTTTGATAGGTGGGGAGGGATCTTAAACATTCCCACAATGTGTGGCTCTCTTTAAACATGGGACCTACAGCTTTTATGCCTTTCTACAAGCTGAAATATTTGTAAAATTAAATAAATCCTCATGATCCTACAAGTAACGGTTAATCCGTTTTTGATGCATCTAAGTTACATACATGTAAAAGGTTCTGCAATTCTACCACCATCGTAAACATATAGTTCTGTGAACACCTCCATTTTTCTCAGACTGGGAACTTTTGCTACCTTGAACAAGTGAATTACAGTTACTGTATGTTTTATTCCCCTGATCTCTGTCTCCAGTACGGTGCTGTACGTCCTGTTTGTCCTACTACTGGGAGCTGTGTGCACACGGGCAGGGCTACAGGACGACTTCATGATCGCAGAGAAGGTCAGTGTACACCTACTGGTAGTACTACTCTTCCATTTGTGCCAGGAGACAGTAAATGATTTTCCTGCTCTCAAAAGAAGCATTTTTAGGCTGGAAATACCACAGGCATAGTTACACAGTTATGGGCAGGTTAAATTTTGAGCTGTTCGCAATTGTTGTTTTATTTGTCTCCCTATTTTTGATAGCTGGACTGCCTCTGTTTATTGTATTTGATACTTAATGGACACAAGGTTTGAACCAATTGCCCTGTTTTCTAAATTATGATATTTTTTTTCCTTCATTCCCCCAGGTATCAGAAGTAGGCCTACTGGCGTTCTATGATTGTGCAACCACAGAACATGTGTAAACAGTTGTTTGTTTGTTTACCCCAGGTATTAGGAGTAGGAGTTCTGTGGTTACTAGGCCTGTACATCTCGTCCCTGTCCTCCTGTCTGTTTGTAAACAGTTGTTTGTTTGTTTATCCCTAGGTATTAGGAGTAGGAGTTCTGTGGTTACTAGGCCTGTACATCTCGTCCCTGTCCTCCTGTCTTTTTGTTAACAGTTGTTTGTTTGTTTGTTTATTTACTCCCCAGGTATCAGGAGTAGGAGTTCTGTGGTTACTAGGCCTGTACATCTCGTCCCTATCCTCCTGTCTGTTTGTAAACAGTTGTTTGTTTATTTGTTTACTCCTCAGGTATCAGGAGTAGGAGTTCTGTGGTTACTAGGCCTGTACATCTCGTTGCTATCCTCCTGTCTGTTTGTAAACAGTTGTTTGTTTGTTTACTCCTCAGGTATCAGGAGTAGGAGTTCTGTGGTTACTAGGCCTGTACATCTCGTCCCTATCCTCCTGTCTGTTTGTAAACAGTTGTTTATTTGTTTACTCCTCAGGTATTAGGAGTAGGAGTTCTGTGGTTACTAGGCCTGTACATCTCGTCCCTATCCTCCTGTCTGTTTGTAAACAGTTGTTTGTTTGTTTACTCCTCAGGTATCAGGAGTAGGAGTCCTGTGGTTACATGGCTATGTGTAAACAGTTGTTTGTTTGTTTGTTTGTTTGTTTACTCCTCAGGTATCAGGAGTAGTTCTGTGGTTACATGGCTATGTGTAAACAGTTGTTTGTTTGTTTGTTTGTTTGTTTGTTTGTTTACCCCAGGTATCAGGAGTAGGAGTCCTGTGGTTACTAGGCCTGTACATCTCATCGCTATCCTCCTGTCTCAGTGGCCTGTACGGTGCCCCGCGGGTTCTACAGTGTATCTGTAATGAGAACGTCATTCCTGTCATCAAGGTCCTGGGCAGGGGGGTAAGTCTACATACTTCTCACAAAAGCATACACATCTTTAAATTTCTACATGTGTAAGAAAGAGTATGGGAGGGTCAAACACACAACACTACCAGTGGACTAGGCCCCTGCTGTCACAAGTGCTTGGGCAATTCTGTGGTCCAAGGGCTACACATGAGATGAGCAACATCCCTATGCTCTGCACAGAGTGGAACGGGTCCATTAAAATGTACAGACTGTATAAATTACACGGCTGGAATACTGGGTGCATGTGCACCTTAGTGCACCCAAATTTGGAGCAGTGCACCTAATTGTTTTCTGTTGGTGCACCAGTGCACCCAAATATTTTTGTAGGTTTATGTAATAACTATGTAAAGATATTAAATGTATAGTTGTACAGTTACTGCAAATTTTTAACATCCAAGTGTCAGAAAACCAATAAAATCATTGTTGTAGTTACTTTTCTTTAGAAATGAAACATAATTAGTTATTGCTAACATTCTAGGTAATCAATTTTATATGGTGCACCCAGAAAAATTTTTGGGAGCACCAGATCACTTATTCCCAAAAATGAATGTCGAGCCCTGAATTACAAAATATAGTACCTCCGGATCCAATTTCAAGATCTCAGTATTATGCATTCTTGTCTTCTCCCCAGCGTGGCCCTAACAAGGAACCGTTCCTGGCTATCCTGGTGTGTGGGTTCATCTCCTTCTCCTTCCTGTTTGTGGGGCAGCTCAACCTGCTGGCTCCCATCGTCACCATCAACTTCATGCTCACCTACGCCATGGTCGACTACGCGTACTTCGCTGTGGGCATGAGCTACGACATGCACCTCAAACGCAAGGAAAAGTATGAGGGCAACGGCGATAAAAAGGTATACATGATGGTAACCGCTAGGGTCTAATTTGTTGGTCCTCGGATTTTTTAAGAAAAAAAGTTGAAGCGACGGGCGAAAAAGAAAATAACTAGAAAGGCCGACATTTGCTTTGGAGCAAATTCAGCATAACTTCACTACATTTCACATAATGGCAGGGAAAGAAGGAGAAATACAAGGGAAAACAATTCTTTACATTCATCTGATATAACAGTATAGTATGAAGTGACAACAGTTGGATAGCTATCCCTTACATTATTGGTTGGGATTTTTAATTGCATAATGCAAACTGTTATCCAGCGATGTCAGCTCAGGTAAAAGCACAGAAATGACATTATATTATAATAAAACACAGATATGCAAATAGAGATGCCCAAAGTGGGCAATTGGGAAGCTTGCTATAGATATAGAGTCTCCAAAAATTCACTTTTAGAAGGCTGTACAAGCTCAATTTCTCAGTCATCATGATTGGAACAAACTTCAAGTGACTATTAGATGATTGTGCAGTTCTGATATTTGTATGTAATTTACGGACTTTTTTTGGTGTCATTTGGTCTTTAATTTGAAAAGGAAACAGAAAGCCTGCTGTCACATGTGATCGACAAGGGTAAGAAGGAGACAGACGAGAAATCTGCGACGAACGGCATGGGACCGAAGTACGGGACGTTAGAGGAACCCAAAACAGGCAGTCTGATCGACACTTCAGAACCTAAGACAGTGGAGAAGGTCCTAACCAAGGACCAGATGGCAGACGAGCTGACGTCTTCAGCTCTGGAGAAAGACGTGGACAAGAAGGGGGAAGATGCAGAGAAAGGGAAAGTCAAGACTGGAGACCGAGATGACAAAGGTACAAGATATTGTCATACATTTGACTTTTTCTATCAAAAAAATGTAGTTTTGTCTTGACTGTATATTACATGTAATATCAAAGAAAAAATATGTTACTTTGTGTTGACAAGGTAGTACATACTACATGATTTTTTATTAGTAAAGATTATTCAGAACTAAAATGTTTCAAAACAAAAAAGGGATTTTTTTCAGATTACTGGTATACTTAGCTCTGTATTACATTGTACCAAATTTCCAACACAGATGAACTTTCATGCTTATGTACATGTATCTGAAGAGTTTACAGTTACATTTCGTAAAAGTTTGATATTTTTTATATCATCTTTTAAGTTTTAACAAGTATTATTTTTTTATTCAGAATTTGTGCTTTTCTTACGTCTTAATCAATGGAAAAGGAGGTCAGATAATGCACAAAACGAAATTCAATGCAACAGTTCAGCCTCTTAACAAGGAGTCTAGTGTGTATGTTTGATCGTATGCATATCTCCTTTAAGTTGGTACTAACCAATCCTTGATTTGTGTTGTAGATCCTCCAAGAACGTTCCACTATGAGATCTACAAGATGCCCAGTTCCTGGTACTCCTTCCTCTGTAACAGATGGGTGTCTTTGATAGGGGTGAGTTACAGCTTCTACATTCTACTAGAAACAGATCATTCTAGACATGCAGTGGTCGAAATACTTTTTTTCAGTGTTCTGCAATATTGCAGAAGAGTCAGAATTTTGTTCTGCAATTTTGGAAATACTTTCTGCAAATACACATTCAAAAGTCAAGCCTCCATACTACAATCTTGCAAGTTTATAAGCATTAACTATTGATTGAACAAAAGGAAACAAAAGATAGACAAGTCAAGACAAGTTTGATGTAAATTAGTGAAGAAGCTCCTGTTGTTTCAGAACAGGAGCTTAAGTGTTGTCTGTCCTTGGGGCCAAGAGCACCAAATCCCAAGTGCCAATTTTACCTGCTGCAAAATTGCAGATTGTATAAATTTTTCTTCTGCAATCTTGAAAATCTATCTGCAGATTGCAGACTGCAGACAGGTATTTCGAACACTGACATGTGCAGTCTTTCATCAAGATTGAGAGAATCCATCGTAGGGCGGTCCATATCATCATGGGACAATCATAACTAAGGTTGGGACAAGTTTGAATGTCAAAAATCCACTTGCCGTATGGTCATTTCCGCTTGCCCAAACCGACTTTTTACAATACGCGTTTATAAACATCTTCACGTCGAAGATTTGTCAAAATTTTTTTCATGCGTACTCCAAAAAAATCTACTGATTTTCCAAAAATTAATAAACGTACCGTGCAAAATAAGAACGTACCGGGTGGACGTTCGGGCCAAAAAAAATAAACGTACCGGTACGTTTATTCGGCAGATGAGAGTACTGGCCCGAAATGTAACATGATGCGTCAAATATTTCTAATGCATTTTTTACTTGCTGCAAGGAAATTATTCTAATTTCAGTATTTAAAAAAAAAAGCACTTTAAGGGTTATGAATCAGATGTTGTATTCTTTATCTAGCAGGATACTTGCAATGGATTTTCTGACAAAAGGGCATACTTATATATTAATGGCATTTAATAATTATGATATCTTTATCAGAAAATGAAGTAATTTTGCTCCAAACACTGCTATACTGCAGCATAATGCCACATCAAAAGGCAATGCCCAATCGGGCAAGTACAGGAGGATATTCACTTGCCCGAACAGTACTTTGCCCTGGGCAAGTGGTGTCCAACCCTGCGTCCTGCATGCACACATCTCGGTTTGCCATCTCTTCACTCCAGACGTTTGAATTTGACTTTAAAGTTTGCCAAATGAACAATATCGCCACCTACTACTGCCCACAAGAATGAACATTACATATACTTGCCGACAGACTCGTTCTACTATAGTAATCTGGACATTCTAAAGTGTCAAATCGAACGCTATAGAACAAGTGCTAGTATATACATATACTGGCCAGACTGACCACAATGTTCAAAGTCCTGCACAACACCATCTCTGTCCCCCACACCACGTGCCTCATCCCGGCAGCTCGATGCTCCCGCCGCACCAATCACGCTTTAAAGCTGCAGACCATCGCGAGTAAGAACAACTATTACAGGCTCTCGTTCTTCCCTCGCACCATCAAGGAGTGGAATGAACTTGAGCCCAGTGTGGCGGAGGCGAAGTCCATCTCCCAGTTCAAAGCAGAGCTGGGACGGGCTTCGCTGCATTGAGCTGCCTCCCGGTCCTTGTACATATGTAAATACGTGTAACACTAGCACCACTGATTTCACTTGTCCTGTCCTTGCACTTGTCCACGTCCACCCCTACCTTACCCTTTGTTTGCACTTTGCACACAGTACTAATGCGCAGCTGCTAGTAATCTTCTTTTTAGAAGGCTAAGCAGTACTGAAGATGATGATGATACATTAGTCACTAAAACATTTCATTCAAGAGTACTTTGCATGATACTTTAGGGGTTGTAACGCACTGACATAAGTTACCTTTTTTTTGTCCTCGGCAGGCGATAGCATCTTTTGTGATCATGTTTGCCATCCAGTGGGGATATGCACTGGCAAACATTGCAGTCTACATTCTACTGTATGTGTACATAGGACAGGCCAACCCTGGAGTATACCCTGGTAAATATGCTCTGTAATATTTATAATTAGTCCTCTGTGTTTGTGTGATCTAACCGTTAACAATTGTGTGCAGTGAACACAGCACGTCACCTGATTTGTTTTACAGTACATTTATGTTAACTTTGCAGTTTTCGTGGTCACTTCTGTACCACAAACTTATCATTACCATCAACAAATTATTTGCTGACTTTATTTTTTCTGTACCTGCCTCCATCCTGAACATATAGTTCCATGCATGAACACCTACATTTTTCTCAGACCATGAACTTTTGCTACAGTGAACATTAAGTGATTTACAGTTAAGCCTGACACAATTATAACAGAGTGTAAAATCAAATGAGCAACCAGTAGAGGCTAGTGCTAAGAATGTTAGATTTTCATTTGGTTTGTGGTAGGTTTGGATTAGGTTTCTGACTCTTTTAATCCCTTTAATCCACAGGCCTGACTGACTTCAGCTTAATCCAGTGGATAAAGACAACCTTCCAGAGCTTGTGCAGGTAAAGTTGGACATGCAGATGTGAAAGATTTATTTTGATCAGAGTTTGGTCCCTTCCTTGGTCTACCCTTCATCAGTACATCTTTTTACTGTGGAAATGTTATACCTATACACATGTATTGGCATGGTCCTGTAGATTTGGAAATACAGAAATTTGGAAAATTCAACCAAATTTAAATCTCATGAGTCATGTAGTAATGTAAGAAATTTTTTTTCCCTTTCAACTTCTAAATTAACAGTTACAAAGATTTAATTTCAAGATTTGAATCACATGATTGTACAATTTTAACCTGTTTCAGAATGGTTACGAATCAAGTTTAAACTGTAATTTCCAACACAAGAAATTGGACTGACCCAAATTCTTTTACTGTACATCTCCAGTCTTTGTCAAGGAATTCAACAATCCACCGCTTCTGTGATGTCATGTTATGTAGATGACACAGGTGACTTGGTGAGCAGTGGTAGGTTGTAGGAAGTCTGTGGCGCCCCCCGTCTATTTCAGACTGTAAATTTCGTCTTGTTGATTGATCAGTTCAACCTTCTCCGTCCCTCCGCAGACGAGGTCCCCCCCCGCCGGAGCAGTACGTGGTCACGCCCATGTTTGTCCCCACCAAGATGGAGACGGAACAGCTGAACGAAGACAGCGAGGACTACCAAGGGCGCGGGAGATACCACCAGTCCACCATCATGAAGGGGGAGGAGTATGACCAGTTCGAGTAAAGAATTTAACCTTAAATATGCTAAGGTGGCCATTTGGCAGCAACTTTGTATTGGTTATGGGGTAAGGAAGCAGGGAGAGGGTTAAAGAAAAACTGAATTGTGAGGTGTAGGAATATACAATGTACACTCAAACCAGCATGCTGGCAGAATCTACTGCACCTGCACGAAACCCGTAATGTACAATTTATATCATACCCAGGCCGCACTAACGTACGATAACGGGTTCCGGACCAGGCCGTACTGCAAAGCACAGCCCGGCTTCCATGGCTTCCATAGAACGATTAGAACGCATTTCAGGCGATACGGAATACCCCGTGTTGTATTCTATACATTTGTACATGTATGTATTGTGCATAGCACTTTGGCAGAACGTCTCATATACATTGTAAGGCCGTATTCAGGTATATAAGGTTAACATACTGTCTGTAGTTACCAAATGTTAAATCAGAAAAGATGTCGTCGGCAACAAGCATAATTCTGATGCAACGTTGACCAAAAATCCAACAAAAACCGTTAAAAAAATCGGGGTTTCGCTCAGGTGAAGTACGTTCTGCTGACATGCTAGTCAAACCTGTCTATAGTGACCACTATCTCACTATCATTAATAGGAGATGAGTATGGCCAGTTTCTAGGCTTGGCATTACAACATACATTTTTGCCAACAATAAGCTACTCAAGCTTGTATTGAAGCAGGCCGTGGGCTATTTTCAGTTTTTGAACTCAAAATTTTTTAGTAAAATCAATGACAACTACAATATTGCAGATCATAGACGAGATGCATTTCAAGCCGTGGTCTACTCTAAAAAAGGGTTTTCTAAATCTTAGTGTTCTTCAGGGTACTCCCTCAGTGACTGTGATCATGTGCATTTGTAGGTAAGGGTGCTTTTTGAGTAAGAAAGGGAAGAAAGGTTCAGAATAATGCTCAGGTTTGGATGTCAGAAGTGTAAAGTTGTTGGAGAAAATTGTATGTTTTAAATCTATCGTACTACAAAAAAACAAAAACATGACAATGGTACATGTATTTGCTAAGCTTTAGTATTGGGAGGTTTGTCAAACAGTTTGATGTAAAATCTATTCATTGAAGGAAAAAAGGGAGAAAAAATGTGAGATCTTCTTCCAACAAAATGGATTTGGTAGTTAGCTGCAGTATTTTAAATACATTGTAGGGTTAGAGACCTCTCCAGAACAAAGTATTGACAGTAAACGCACATAATTAACCAAGAATTCAGGTAGCCTTAACCAGTGTAAATAACTAGTGAGTTAGTGATCCTTCTGTATAGTGGCAGTGCTATATTGTGCAATGATTATTTAGTTACTGAGTTAACAATTGGTTAGTGAGATAACAATGAGTTATTGAGGTAACCAGTGATTGGTTATTGATAAAGAGTAACCAGCAGATTTGACCACCCCTTTAAATCAGAATTCTAACAAAAATCATGATCAAGACTAAATTGTTTTGACTTAAACTTATAGGTCTGCAAATTCATTTTGGCACATACAATGTATACATGTACCAGTCCTAATCATGATTAAATCATAACGATAACAGTTCTTTGATTGCCTTGTTGGACAACTGTTATTTGGCAATGAAATGAATTATCCATCCTTGTGCTTTTTTGCTCTAGTGCCAAAGCAAAAATGTTATCAGTGTTGAACTCTACAAGCACGAATGTCTTTATAAACATTATTAACTTGCTACTCTCATAATACATGCACTGTTTGCTATGATCAAGCTTTTCTCTGAGTTATTAATATAATTAGTAATAATACTTGGACTTTTACCTGTAGCTCAAGACTGCCTCAGAAATATTAAAAAAGAAGAAAAAATGTGCAAAATATATTTCATTGCTGAATCAGTGGTGGGTAGCTTAGTGTATTTAATTATTCATTTTCTTGTCCGAAACTTTTTTCTCTCTCAAAGAATATGTGACAATCATGGTACTTATATGGTGATTATTAATTTTTGCTGAATTTATATTTCCCACCTTTCCTGTTTGTAATATATAGCTTATTGTAAATGTATGAATTATGGGATGTATATGATATACGTTTACATGATTATGATATGACATGTATATGTTGTCATTGGTGGAAATGGTGATTGAATTATGTCTTGATTATTGGAATTTAGTGTATCATTTTGTTTGATATATTAGTGTTTTAGTAAAATGTTATGAAGAATATACTGGTATGGATAGGCTGATGCCATTTATTTGTATATATTGGAGGCGTAAGTATACATATACGACTAAGTAACGTTATGTGTACATGTGTTATATATGTTACAGGTTATCTGTAGGTACATTGTAACATGTCTACATGTACTAGGTATATCAAAATGTAGTTGTGCAATATGTTGCAATTTCGGAATGGACACTTTGAATTGGTATTACATGTACATTGGTGCAATTTTGTGATGACTTAGTTTCTGTATGATGTGAGAACTTTGTTGTATATTTTGTGGTACGTCAACAATATTATTGTTTTCGCACCTATTTAAAATTGTTTGTGATATTAACAAATGATTACTACATAATGATGCGGTTTCTTCCAATAGAGGAAAATAGTGTTAAACTTCTGAACGTGTCACAATGGAAAAGATATGCCACCCAAAAAGATGTACTTTTGTCTTGATAGTGAGATTTGTGTATGTGTATGTTGTCAAAGAAAAAGGGAAATATTTGAATGTGAAGACATGTATCTTGGTTTACCTTTTCATTATGTGGTTATGAAAAATGTTAAATGTTAATTTAATCAAGACTCATTCCAAGATTGTCAGTAATATATACAGATATGTGCATAATAATGTGATTGGTCAGTAAAGTTTTATGCAAAATTCAAGTGTGTGCGTCTATTCCTTTTGCAATTGTTTAACTTTCTTCTAGATTAAGAAAACGTTACTATACTAGGAAGATATACCAAATGTATTGTGTTATATCAAAATGGCAAAATAAGACGGGGTTTCCAACAAACGGCAGTGTTGCGGCAGTGTTTACAAATACGTTCGTCAAGATAAGCAGCGAAGTTATTACCAGGGCCGATTTACATGACCAGAGGTTGAGGTCGCAGAACACAGTATTTATGGGCGACCCTATGACGCGGGTATAGAAAGTAGCGCAGACAAACCTCTTGCATCCTGGCTAAAGCGAGTTATGTGAGAGGTAGCCATGAATGAACTGCACTCTGTGGTAAGGAAAGGTATCGGCTTGTACACTGTATAACTTGGAGTGTGAAGATTTCCCTGTTCGTGTATAAATGCGCGGCATTACGCAACCGCGTTCCAGGGTGAGCCGGCTGCAGTTCCGTTGACCCCGGTAGAGGGCCAAATCAAAGTGGTCGTCATTATGTTAAAAAACGATAACTTTTTTTGGTTTTCAGTTATTTTGTAGAATATAGCGTATATTTCAACATATTAGTTGGCCGTGATTCTCTAGTGCACCCTATTATAATTTTTACCGCGTCGAAGTGAGTCACCTCGGGGTGCTTAACTATAGGTATCCCCATAGGGCGAAAACTGTGTTCTGCCACCTTGACAAAAAATGCCAGTAACTGGGGGAGGGGGGGCGACAATGTTTAGGGATGGCTTTCAGCACCAAGGGCAGGGATAGCTTCAATTTCAGGGTAGCTATTCCATTAATACAAACGAAATACAACCACAATCATTGCATTAGCACACTCAAATCACATTTGGGTTTGGAGAACAATGTATTACACAGATTTTGATATACGATATGTATTCAAATTTGACAAAGCAGTTCATACAGTATCAAACAGCTATTTTCTTACTTCCTGGATGCCTGAGCTTCAAATGCATCTTTAAAAAAACATCTGAATCTTAAAAAGTAATAAACTTGCTTGCTCTGAAACCTAATTCTTGACATAATACATACTATCAGAATGACTGTACTATTTCTGAATTGCTATGAGCAATAAAGCTACACAGCAAATCAATTGATACTTTCACTTGACAAATTCACACCTATTCTATGATATGTCAAAACAAAGACCTTAAAAAAAGCATGACAACATACCTTATCTTTAAAATGAAATTAGTTGTTAATTGGTCCAATAATCAAGCCAGGAAAAATCTTGTAAAATCACACTTGGCCTTAATTAATTAATTAATTAAGCAAAAGTTATAACATACACACAAATTAAGTCTGTATAAATTACGATAAGTTCAATGACATAAAAGAACTAAATCTGCAATTTCTTCTGAGGTACAAAAGCTAAAATTGACAGTTTTGACATAAAAGTGTAAATCAGTAGCCACTAAGAATTTTAACTGTTACTATTTCAACATTATGGTACATAATTATATTCATACCATATGAAAATTAAAGGCTACATTTGTGCTGACATAATATAGTCTGGAATTACATACATATATGTCTTCTTTTCACTGCAAGCTGGCATAGTTTTTTCACAACTTTCAATCATCATTAACATTACACATGCATCATTTGATTGCTTAACCATCTATGCTTAATTAGAATTACTAATTAACATTAAGTACTAGTAGCTGAGCATCTGTCTTCTAAAAATCTACCATTTGCGCAACAACTTCTAAACAATCTAGCACTGTGTTCACACAGATTTTGGCAGGATTCAAACTCATACTTTTTACCCCCTCAATTTATTAACCTTCTCCCTGCTGCCTAACCCTGTGAAGGCCTTTAACCAGTGCTGATTTGGAGCTAAAAGGCCATCTCAGCAGGGATAAGGTTAAAAACATTTTTATTCCTTCTTTGCGACCTTGGTGACCCCACCAATGACCTTCCTACGTTGTCGCACCATGTGGAAATACAGCTGAGGGAAAACTGCAAGGAAGAAAAAACATCAAGTCAGCAAATAATAATAGCAGGTAAGGCCACACCAATTTAATTTCTTGGTTCTCGGATTTTTTCAGCAAAAATATGAAGCGACAGGGCGAAAAAAAATAAAAATAAAAACAGGTCTAGGCATCCTATTATAGGCTTAAATGTTACGGAATGAGCCATGAAGTCAACACAAAAGGCTGGGTTAAAATTTAAACATTGAATTTTGAACTTTTAATCAAGCCACTGCAATGATAGATGGGAAAACTGTAACAACTAGGAAGAAAAGGACTTTCCTCAACTGTTGGGGGCAAAACATGAGCATTTTTCAGTTGATTCAGGACCAGAATCAAATTTTTTTTTTTTTTTTGCAAATCAGAAAAAAACGAAGAGGCGAATCCGAGAACCAACAAATTAAATTGGTGTGGCCTAAGTTTATTTTTATTTTTTTGTAAGGCTACACCAATTTAATTTCTTGGTTAACGGATTTTTCTAGAAAAAAAATGGAGGGGCGGGCGAAAAAAATAAAAAAATAAAAACAGGCCTAGGCATCATATTATGGCCCAAAATGGTACGATAGGAGCCATGAAGTCAACACACCAGGCTGGTTCAAAATTTAAACTGTACAATGAATTTTGAACTTTTAATGATACCATTGCATTGAAAGATGGAATAACTGTAACAACTAGGATGAAAAGGACTATTTTCAACTGTTCAGGGCAAAGTATGAGCATTTTGCAGTTGATTCTGGATTTTTATTTTATTTGCAAATCTGAAAAAAAACGAAGCGGGCGAATCCGTTAACCAAGAAATTAAATTGGTGTGGCCTAAACAACAATTGTATAAGAATGTAACTTCTGATACAAGGTACTTGACAACAATTCTAAAGCTGCACTGGTGCAGGTAACACTGAAGACTACATGCAGGAGACAACTTTTACCTGCACCACTCAGAATTTAGGAAGTATGGATCATACTAAAAACTGCTAAGAAACCAGCATAATACAAGTGGTATTTCCAACCATGTGCAGGAAAGATATCAAAGAAGATAAAAAAAGGTTGTAAGGCATAGGAAAACAATGTTGTGTTTCCTGTTTCCCGACCAACCCTAGAAAAAAAACTGATGAGACCCTTTTTTGTAGGCTCCTGCAAGGGACATAAATATTTCGAGCTGATTGACCTTTTCTAGATGTTCTGACACCTGAGTGATGAAATGTTGCACAATCGGTTTTCCAACATTCACAATCTAAGTGTCTTCATGCAAGTTTTACTTTGTTAAACTGTATTGTATAAGCAAAGAGCTCCTTGGTATAAGTTGGATCACTACAGATTGCCAAAGTCTAAAAAAGAAGAAAAAATAATCGCTACCTACCAACCCCAATTTTTTTCAGGACTGAAACAGGAAACACAACACTTTTTTTCTTAGGCCTTAATATGTAAAAATCCTAAAATGACCAAATGTTGGGAAGAAAGGTCTTACTTGGTATGTAGGTGAACATGACGCCCACCAGGAAGTAGTGGTAGTAGAAGGACACGTTGAGAGGGTTGGGCATCTCCAGGGAGAAGGCCTTCTGCTCAGCAGCCGGTGCCAGGCTACTGTAGATGGCTAGCAGCTCCCCCTGGTGGAAAACGATGGAAGTGAATCTTTTGCAATTGATTGCTCGAGTTTGCCAGGAAAATTTTAACTACTAGTAACAAGGCCAATGTATAAGACACAAGTACGCACACAAAGAAACACAGACAGACAGAGATATACATTGTACAGACACACACACACACAAACAAATACACACACACACATACACACGGACACACACACACACACACACACAGACACACAGCCTTTTCTGAAACAGCTGAATTCTGTAGGGCATGTGCACAAAAATCCCAAGAATGTCTTTAAATTCTATTGTGAGATCATACTACAACTCATAAATTTTGACCAAGCAAGCCTAAGTGTCAGAAACCAAATAACTTCATTCAAGACAGAACACCTGATACTTACAGTCACTCCTATTGGGTACAGCACTATGAAGAATGTATATCTGAAAGGAATGATAAAGACACAATGTTACTGTCTACTAATACATACATACAATGTATACAATACATGCCTTTCCCAAGGACACAACGTCTAGCCAGGAATGCATGGAATTGACCGTCTAATGTCTACTGGCCTATATAACCACTGCCAGTCAACAACACTTAGGCCCCGTTCATGATTGGATATCTGTTGCGAATCAATTCGATTTAAAAAAATAAATCGATTCATTTAGGAACATGAACGCTCCAAACCGGTTCCGTTGCGATTTATTCTGAACCACCTCGCGAGGTGGTCTGAAACTATACGATACAATTCGCATTCGTAGAATTGTAATCATGAACGCGCGGATGCGAATCGTTCCGCTTCGACGCTGTACTCCCGGGTACGTGGGGGCCACGGTCGGCCATAGTTTGCGGCGCAGTGGCTTGTACTGCCGAAAATTTTACTTGAATCGTACACTTGACATCGAGTTCTAATTACTGGTCGACGTACTGAGGAAACGGGAGTTCCGATATTGACTTGGGAAATCAGGAGATCCAGAGGAAACTGGATATGGTGTGTACTAGAACCTACCCTGGGCGCGAGGGCGAGTGGTAGCCCAACGGGGGCGTTGGGGCGGCGGACCGTGGGGGTTTGCGCCAGATGCGTCCGGGACACAGCCTATATGGGGAGGACATGAGTCGGGAACGAGCGACCACTCGCCCGGACAGGCGTAAACTCTTCGCCTTACGAGCCGGGTTCTCAGGAAATATTCAAAGAAATTGTAATATACATATGAAATGAAAGTCAATTCGAGGTGTGAAACCGTTTCCAGTGTGGGTTCAAGTTTTGAATCACGGACGCAAAAATATATTCCGCTTCGATTCGGATCGTGGCCAAATCGGAACACATTTCAATCATGAACGAGGCCTTAGAGAAGAATGGAGCTCAAAGGTATCCAATGTAATTTAATGGTGGTAAAACTGGAAAAGATATTCTGAATAAAGTAATCTCTTATGATATGGGCACATACTCCGTCAAATATGTACATTTGAATCAGTATTTCATACTTTGGGCATTTAAAACTGCAGAAACAAGTCCCAAGATGAGCCCGTTATTTTCTGGGTGGTGCCCTAAAAATCATCTCTGGATCCTTGGAGTAACTGTTTTTTTTTGTCATAATTTTGGGAATTTTTGTATGCCTTAAATGTTACATACATGTACATTGGGACAGTGCTATTTCAACTCAGTATGCAGATAAGTGATTAGAATATTGACTTTGAAAAATCTGGTTTCCAAGCCCTAAACACTGCACCGGATGCCTTTGAAATAGGACAGATACCAGGCTACACCTCACCTGCACCACTGTAGGATGTAGGGCTTCATGTTAAGCAGAGCGAAGGTGTAGAAGGAATACCGAATGATCTCTGTGATAGTCCACGCAGCAATGCATAGACTCGCTCCCAGGCTTGTCTGGGCCTGGCAAAATAAACAAAACATGTAACATACAGCATCCAAATATAGGCTGGCTCCCAGGCGTGTCTGGGCTTGGCTAAATTTACAAAACATATGTAGCATATAGCAGCCAAGCATAGGCTCAAACCCAGGCTTGTCTAGGCCTAGCAAAATACACAAAACGTATGTAACATACAGCAGCCAAGCATAGGCTTGCTCCCAGGCATGTCTGGGCCTGGCAAAACATACTGAACATCTACTAAGTATTACATACTGTAGTATTACGATGGCTGCATCCAGGCTAGTTTGTGCCTGCCGCAATGTACAAACATCTACATGTATACCATAACATATACCAGACATAGTCTTACTCCCAGGCTAGTCTGGTCCTATATAATATTGTAACAAAACATACAGAAGTTCAGTCTATTGCATAGTGTTATCCTATAATGACTGACACCTAGGCTAGTCTGGGTCTGCAGAAAGTATACACAACACTTATACAGCAACACATAACATAAGCAGTTTAAAAACAGGCTAGTTTGGGCCCACCAGAAAAATGTTAATGTTCTGTGGAAGGCCCAATAGATTCCTTTCCAAAAATTGGCGACATCTTCTGTCCATAACGTACTGGTATTATAGAAACTTTCAATGTTATCTTTGCTTGGTTCCAAATCAAAGTGACCGGAAATACAAAAATGTTGTGACAATGTTGTTTAGTTAGTAAACAAATACCATAGCCGGGTTGTTTACTTATCTTAACATACCTCCTTGAAAGGATGCATCACTCCCCAGACCAGGAACACCCGGGAGAAAACTTGGAAAGCCGTCAGGAGTACGTTAGACGGGACGATACCCAGAGCAGCGTGCACGATCTAAAAGAAGGATAGAATATACTTTTGATGAAGAATTTGCTTGGTGGTAGCAAAGCCTGCACAACCTAAAGACACACACACACACACGCACACACTCACACACACACACACACACACACACACACACACACCACACACACACACACACACACACACACACACACTCACACACACACACACACACACCACACACACCACACACACACACACACAACACACACACACACACACACACACACACACACACACATACACACACACACACACACAAACACACACACATACAAGCAACAAAAAAAACTACCACTATTAATTATTATAATCAATTATAAGATAATCGGCTTTATACAGCAAGGACAACATAAACAGATTATTAGTAAATTACATAAAAAATGGCTTCAGAAAAAGATTAAATGTCACAGAAGTTGCTTAGCTTCATACTAAATTTCACATTATTTGAACCCTTGACAAATAGGCATGACTCTAGCCTATAAAACAGTTGTGTCAACACTTAGTCGTTTCAATCTACATGCCTTATATTTTTCTTCATCTTTGCAGAGTGGAGATAGATTGCCAATGAACTTTTTTTGGAGCAAGTATAGAATTAGTTGGATTTCGGGCTTGCATTACATCTACACATTACATCAGATTCTACATTGCAGAGAAGAAAAAATACCGGTATCTATAATTCATTAAATCAAATTCAAAAGAGTGAAAAGACAAAAAATAATTGTACAGATCTCTGTGGCAAATGTGCAGTATCAACAATGTGCCAAAGGGCCCGGTGGGCGTCACTCTCCCATACAGTGACTTTCCCAAGGGCACAACATCGGGCATGTCAGGGGATCGAACCTGGGACCTCTTGGTTCCGAGCCCAATGCTCTGACCATTACGCCACACAACGCCTCAAGATAGAACACAGAAAAAAAGACAGAGAAACCCAAAAAATTAGCTGTGTTTCTTTCATTAACAAAAAAATTTGACTGCATTAGGATGTACTTATTTTGCTCCTTACCTCCAGTAAAGCGAGTGACTGGAACACTTTCAGCACTACTTCCACGCTGTCATACAAGCCTGAGTACACCTCAGGAGAACTGCTGTTGTTCAACACATGTAGGATGTACACATACATAACAGCTAACCACCTGCAACAATAAAAAACTTTATTATTAATACAATAATAAGAGGAGCGCCACCTGGACACCTTTGACCAGAAATGCCTGCGCAGGATCCTTGGCTATCGCTGGGACGACTTTGTTTCCAACACCACCGTACGACAAAGAACCGGTCAACCGCCTGTTTCCTTCAAGATCCGACAGGCCCGCCTGCGACTCTTTGGTCACATAGCCAGAGCCGCCCCACCCTTGGAAGCTGCCAGTCTACTGAAGGCAGCTACGCCTGCAGGCTGGTCCAGACCCAGAGGTCGACCCAGACGTAGGTGGGGAGACCAGCTGAATGCAGACTTCAGGACAGTGGGCCTTGATGTAGCCACAGCCTGGCAGAGGGCGAAGGACAGAACTGGCTGGAAGTCAACTTGGAGAGGCGCGACGCTCCCCGGAGCATGCGGTGCTGAGTGAGTGAGTGAGTGAGTGAATTAATACAATAATGAATAATTTATGCCTTGAGTGGCTAGGTACAGGTCATCTATCCTATTAATATTAATTGACCTAATGAATATCATATAAATGCAACAAAATAGTATGAGCAAGTGAAGACAATACTAGTCTTAGGTACGAGTTCAACATATATAATATAGTACTAGTAAACAAAAGTAGAAATGGGCATCACCCTAATAATCACATAGAGTGGAAAGGGCCTCTTTTTAGCCGAGTAGAGTCAGCTTGCGGTTTGATGCATTGCATGAGAAATACCCCCAAATTGTAAATATACAGGGCACTATATAGATGGTACAGCACGTGTAACCCATATAATTTATTTATTATACTGTAATTCCTGATTTTTTCACTGTACTGTTATGTTCACTGTTTTCACTGTCACTTCTGTACCGTGAATTTATCATTACAGTTAAGAAATAATTCCTGGACTTTCCTTTTCCTGCACCTGTCGCCACCGTGAATTATATATATATTATAATAGTTCCGTGAACATGTCCACTTTTCTCCGACCGCGAACATTTGCTACTGTGAACATTAAGTTTCAGAATTACAGTACATGGGCTCCGCAGGACTTTAGGGTTTTAACATTGACTAATTGAGAAACTTCATACTCGAGAACATTTTGTTTTTCTACAGAGGTGACCTCGAGAGATGTGACACTTCCTGGACTTTTTCACCTTGACTGCTTCTCGAATGACGTGTGTGTAGTGTCAGTATGCATTCCTAAGATAACACAGTGTTATCAGATACAGTTGTTTATAGTATTATAGGCTGGTGTGTGTGTGTGTGCGGATGTCCTCAATACTGGGACACATTTAACTCACATGCACATTTCATTTTAGGGGTAGATTACAAATATTCTAGGAGTATACAATCCTTACAATATACAGATAAGTAAATATAATACAAAATGTTTAGACTCTAATAGCTCTAAATTAGAGCTAGTGTAAATGGTACATTACGACTTCAGATACTCATATAAATGTATTAATCAATATTTGTATAATAATTTGTTGCTTTCTCTCTTCAAAAATTGTTTTGAGGTTGTTTACTTGAGCCTCTACATGTTTATTGTGAAGGAGTTTGTGTTAAAGTCGTCGTAAATATGCAAATATGTCGTGATCGCAGCCACGCCCCTTTTTGCCCCGCCCAAGTCCAAGGGTCAGTGTTATGCATTCGTGATCGTTTTCTGTAAAAATAAGTCTCAAAATAGAAAAAATAATTATTTCTGCAGTAACTGTGAACAACAAGGGACGACACGTGTTAGCATGGACGAGTAAAATGCGATGTTTTCAAAGCCTATATCCTCTATGAACGTTTTAATCAGATTATTATGGACATTTAGAAAAATTCTACCCTCCCCAAAATGGGGCCGTTCCTACTAGTATACAACGTTAAAAAGCTGCTGCATTTCTATATGAGGGTTGAAAAACCTATATAGAGCTTAAGAAAAAGTCCAATACGGTGGCTTCTTTTTAGTACAAGAAAGGATAACCTTATTAAAGGGTCAAAGTCTCAGGTCAACATGCCTAAGCCTAGCTGGTAATATTTCATTCAAACGGTCGACCACTCTGCATGTAACGCCGTATTTCAAGCTAACCGAGCGTCTCAAATACCATTGAAAGGCACAGACCGGTAGTACTCACCCTGCTGTAAGTACTATGTTGTACAGAATGAGCCAGCCGCGGGCCAGGGACCCAGGACCGGCCCGAGGTTTGGGAGACTTCGGCACAGTTTTGCCAACTGCCGCCATGATGTTCAGGGAACTGTGCGGGTTAAAGGTCAGCGGGAAATTTAATATCCAAGCAGATGTAGGGCACAGTAAAGACAGCAATGCTGGACGTAAGATATCCACATACAACTGCAATGGCTATGTTTTGTTTATTACAACTTTCTATGTTGATTTACATGTTGGTATGCTATCATTCGATGGTGACTCAAGATGTTAATGATTTGGCGTAAGGATCTTTTTCTTTACTTTAGGAAGTTGGTAGGCTCTTACTTTATTTGTACCTTTTTATTGGTGTTCACAGAACAGGGATTGCTATACTGTTAAAATTTAGGTCCATGTACCAGGAATATGAACGTGTGAGCATGCATTATGTATACGTAGATTTGCAAAAAAAATGTTATTCGTCTATTACAATGTGTTTTCTGGAGTAGAGAATGGGACAGGACACCCACTGAACATACACAGGGAAAAGGGACATGTTGGTGTTAACGTTATAAACAGTAGTAAAATTTATGTCTTCTAACCTTTTGACATACTGGGTGAACAACTCCAAACGCGACAGTACGTACAGACGCGATCAGCATATATGTCGGTAGTCCCTTTCTTGACATGTCCTGGGACTTCTACAGAACTTTTCTTCTTGCTTTGGAGATTTTTCCGACTTCTGCTACCTGAGGTATTACATTGAACGTATATTGAAGGTTTTCAACGCTAGCTGTTCTTCTTCTTCCGTTAATGTCCGGCTGCCGTCACTCCGGCAATTACTGACATGTTTAACGGGTCAAAGGTCACCATATACTAGTATGTGATTTAGGCAAGGTTTGACACCTTCGAAACGAAGGTCGCCAGGGATGGAGACTGTACAATGTCTTCAGGCAGGGAGTTCCAGTCTCTGATCGTTCGAGGGAGGAAGGAGTAGAAGCGGTAGTTCGTGCGGCAGGACAGCTGCTGGTACTGCTGACTGTGCCCTCTGCGGCGTCTCATGTTACTGGCAGGTAGGGGGTTCAGTGAGTCACAACTCACACAGGCAAGACCATGCTGCATTTTGTTCCTGTAGATTTCTACAATTGTTTGTATCAGTCACGGTTTTGGGGCTCCTCATCATGGTTACAACGTCTGTGGCGCAAGGTGTGGACGCATCTGACCGCAGTAGCGCCAAAAGGACATCAGAACAGTCGGAGATACCACGAGAATCTGTAGGACTTCGTCTGTGTGCCTGGATTTTCCTTCTCTGTCAATGCACGCTCGAAACAGCATGCAATTTATTCAAACGCCATCAATGGAGTATAGTTTGAAAAATGGCTGTACCAAGAACACAGGTGAGGATTCCAGTTCTCTCAAACCAGGCCTAAAGCATAGTTAAGTGAATAGCCTACTAGTAACTACGGAGCTAAATCTAAAGGAAGACTGACAAAAAATGATGCAACATTGCAATAAAAGGATTTGGGCTTTTCTGTATGCAACTTGTTGATTCATTTTGTTGCTGATAAAAAAGAACAAAGAACAGCATATTTGAGTTAAGTGTTCTACTTCCAGGCGTTTCTCCCGTGACATACCTGGGGGGACTCCTGTTTAAACCAACATAAACCTGGTTAAGAACGAGAAATTTGTGGAATATGCTCGATCACTAAAGAGTCTAAAAAGACTGTTAGTGATATAGTAATCCTCTCTGTAATGCCTGCTGCGCCTGGGCCGCAGTACTTGGGGGATTGAGTGAGCGAGTTGAATTAGAAGTTGACCCTAGTCCGTTTTCACAGCATACAAATTCCGCTAGGTGTCGCTCGTTCATAGTCACCAGGCACTAAATTTCATGTACAGGACAGGTTACCTGTGTGTGGATAGCTATAGTGTTCAGCACCAAGGACAGGTTTACCTGTGTGTGGAAGGTGTTCAGCACCAAGGACAGGTTTGTTTGTGTGTGGATAGCTATAGTGTTCAGCACCAAGGACAGGTTTGCCTGTGTGTGGAAGGTGTTCAGCACCAAGGACAGGTTTGTTTGTGTGTGGATAGCTATAGTGTTCAGCACCAAGGACAGGTTTGTTTGTGTGTGGATAGCTATAGTGTTCAGCACCAAGGACAGGTTTGCCTGTGTGTGGAAGGTGTTCAGCACCAATGACAGGTTTGCCTGTGTGAGGATGGTGTTCAGCACCAAGGACAGGTTTACCTGTGTGTGGATGGTGTTCAGCACCAAGGACAGGTTTACCTGTGTGAGGAAGGTGTTCAGCACCAAGGACAGGTTTGCCTGTGTGAGGAAGGTGTTCAGCACCAAGGACAGGTTTGCCTGTGTGGGGAAGGTATTTATTCTACCACGGAATAAACCGCGAAAATAGATAAATAGCAAAATTAGACAAGAGTGTTATGTTTTATACTGCGGTCACATAACAGCTTATTCTTGAAAACGTTTATTTGTGATGATAGAAATACTAATCTAAAGGTGCCCTGTAGCTGCATTTTTACCCATTTTTTTTTACCGAGATTGGCATCAACGTTCATATCCTTCGTAATTAGATAATCTAATCGTCCTTCTTCGACACATATAAGTGCCTGGCACCGAAAAGGGCCGTCATTGGTCGTCGTAATTAGATTATCAACTTCACATTAATTATGCACGGTCGTTCTGCACACCTGTGTAAAAACAAGTTTGGTATCGTCCGTTCAAAATGGCGCTTTCGTACGACGTGAATACTCCGGGCTGATTTTTTCACAACTTTCTGGGTACTTTTAGACGTTTTCGTCGGTAGAATGTCTTAGTAAGTGTGCAGCAGAATGTCTGGGAGTTTTCGCTGTGGATTTGTGCCGTTCTGGTGATGTTTTGAGGAGAAAATGCGGATTTCCTGACCTGGCGAATTTTGGAGAAGATAAAAATGGCGAGACAGTTGGGAAGAGTAACGTCAGCGTGGTATGGAGACGACTTCACTTATTGTTGCAGGTAAACCAGTACATTGTTCGGCTGACATTATTCCTTAGCAACTAGTACGAACATGTCAACATATTCCGTAAGAAATGAACTATTTCTGTATTAGGCACCGACCGTTCCTAATTTTTACACAGGCTTAGAAAAAGTCTATCAAGTTGCCGCGTTTTCAACAACATTTTCAATGTGTGGTGCGCTTATAGAGTGTTAAATGTATGTGCATGTCTTTTTAGTCAGTTGTTCACCGTTTTGAGGTTGTATTTGTCGAAAGAAATTCTGCCTTGACCAAACCATTTTCTCTCTTTATCTCCTCGTGGTTCAAAACACCTGTTGCAATGTGGCCGTGTAACGTTACATAACTTAATTATTTTTGATGATCCCGCCAAAAATTTGCGTAAACAAGATGGGTTCGATCCTCTAAGTTTCAAGGCGCCGAAATGAATACGATACAAACGTTTGAAAACTAGTTATGTCGAGTTGACCATACTTTCGCTCTTCATAATAATTTAAAAGCTTCTCCGTTTCCTTTTTAGAGTAATTCAGTAAAGAGTAATGACCACGCCCAAGTATTTCTGGCGCAAATACTACAGTTGACTATACTTGACGGTAGCAATTCCTGTTTTCAAAACATTTTGCGCCGAGTTTTTTTCGTATTCCACATAAACTTTCAGTTTAGGGGGTTTATTTATTTCATTGTTGTTTCTATCCCCATTTTTATGGTATGTAGAGTTTTCGTGGAGGTTCGAGATATGTGTAATTGTTTTCAAGTAAAGCTATATAAGGTGTGTGTGTTTGCTAGTTTTTATTATATGAGACAAATGTCTAACTTCTAATTTCTGTATATTAGTTAAGTGATGACTGATGCAGTATTGGGGACTTTTGTCTGAACCTGACAAGACAGACTGGACCAGACCAGATGATTTGATGACCCAAGAGGAATATCAGGTAAGAAAAATTCCAATTCTGCATTTTACCTACCATTTGTGTACAACTTACAAGTTACAACTTACCTACCAAGTGTGTAACTTTTAATGTCTGTATAGTTAGGTGGCTGCTGACTGATGCAGTAGTGAGGACTCCTGTCTGAACCTGACAAGACAGATTGGACCAGACCAGATGATTTAAAGATCCAAGAGGAATACAAGGTGAAAAAAATCTGAATTCTGCATTATTGAGTGTAACTTTATGTCTGTATAGTTAGGTGGCTGCTGACTGATGCAGTAGTGGTGAATTCTTTGTAAACCTGACAAGAGAAGATTGGACCAGACCAGATGATTTGAAGACCCAAGAAGAAATATCAGGTGAGAAAAAATCTGAATTCTGCATTCAACCTACTACTTACTTTGTTGTTTGAGACATGTGTTTAACTTCTAATGTCTGTATAGTTAGGTGGCTGCTGACTAATGCAGTAGTTGGGACTCCTGTCTGAACCTGACAAGACAGACTGGACCAGACCAGATGATTTGAAGACCCAAGAGGAATATCAGGTGAGAAAAATCTGAATTCTGTATTTTCCCTACAACTATGAATGATGTTATTTGTGTGAAGTGTGTAACTTCTAATTTCTGTATAGTTAGGTGTCTGCTGACTGATGCAGTAGTGGTGAATTCTTTGCAAACCTGACAAGAGAAGATTGGACCAGACCAGATGATTTGAAGACAGAAGATGACTCTCAGCTGCAGGTGAGATATATCTGAATTCTGCATTCAACCTATTATTTGCTTTATTTGAGACAAGTGTATAACTTCTAATGTCTGTATAGTTAAGGTGGCTGCTGACTGATGCAGTAGTGAGGACTCCTGTCTGAACCTGACAAGAGAAGGTTGGACCAGATTGGGTGATTTAGAAACACTAGAGCAAGATGACAACAACAACATCCACAGGTGAGACAATGCCCAGACGATCTGTTTGACTCTAGCACTCTTTCCTTACGTCCTACACTTAATAAAAATAACACACATGTAGCAAAACATCTTTCACATTAATTTTGTGTTCCCTTACTAGAATAAATGTCTATTTTGGTATGCTATATTGCACTTCTTTGAGCACTTGTCTACATTTCTAGGAAGAGGCAAAGTACAAGGTCACAAGAGTTCATCTTTACCTGGTAGCTACAGTT